GTTCTTGTCCAGTAAACTCCTGTTTCCTTTTGCTCTTTCCACCACCGCCGCCGCCGCCACCGCCACCACCGCCAGCAGCAGCAGAAGCAGGAAGGCCTCGGCAGCGCTGACCTGCCTCTCCCTTGGTTGCCTAATTGTTGTCACAAGACCTTGGATTAGCACATTTCTGGAATAGCTGCCTGTTTACCCTCCAGAGACCCCACCGTCCAGTAAACACTTTCTAATTGAATCCTAATCGCATTCGAATAGCGGCATCGCGGGTCTCAGCTGCAATTCATAAAACTTTAATTGCCACCCATAAATCCTCCTCAGACGAGGAAGTAGACTCCCGACGACCCGGCGATCCTTCCCTTGGGACGACGCGACGGCAAGCAAGCAAGGCACGCCGACGGCCGCAGAGGTGGCCATCGCAGCTTCCAGACAGGGACGAGCCTAATCCATGGAGCTGCCACCCCCAACGTGGCGCCCTCGGGATCTTTCGGAATACAGCTCCCATAATCCCTGATCCATCGGCCAGGCTGGCTGGGGCAGGGGCTCCAAAAAGATCTGGCGGGCGCCACGTTGGGGAAGGGGGTAACCGGAGGGGCCTTTTGTTAGCCCTGTGCTGTGCGGGGATATTACTTGAGGTTGGGGTGGTGTTAAATTCCAGATAGCCCATATATCATTTGATCCCATTCACAGTAGCCAGACAGTAACGTGGTTTCAACAAAAATGGCGCAACTGAAAGATGAACCACAGCATTATGGTGGCATAAACTTTCGTGGACTGCAGTCAACTTATTCAGATGTATGGACTGTTATTCTGAGCTACAGCTCTCTCTCTCTCTCTCTCTCTCTCTCTGTGTGTGTGTGTGTGTGTGTGTGTGTGTACTCACACACATAACGGGACTGGAGGGACAGAATAACACTTGCATGCAACTGATAAGTGGACTACTGTATAGTCTATAATCCACGAAATCTTAGGCCATAATACATTGGTTCGTTTTTAAGCTGCCACAAGATTCTTCGCTGATTTTGCCGCAAATTTAAGAGATGGGTATAAAGAAAAATTTGAGAAGAGCTGAAGAAATCGACCTGCAGAAATCCCAGCTTTTTCCTCACCCAGAAAGCGCATCGTGTCTTCTCTTTCTGTCTTTCTGTCTTAGCAACTGGTCCCTTCATTGTACAAGTCAATGTCATCGACGAACCTCATAGGTTTACATCTTATCTTTCTGTCCACTACCATACCTTCCAAGAGAGGATACTATTCCATGTACCTGAAGATGCGGACTCTAGTTCACGAAAACTCAATATGAATATGTTAGTGGCACAAGAATCTTTGCTGAGGGGTTTCGCTGCTTGGGTTGCTATCCCACGCCTTGGTTGCAAACCCTGTTGCATAGGATTGCACTGCCCATTGCATGTTGTACCGGTGGCTGCGAGTCGACGTTCGCTTCTCTTCCTTAGGCTTGAATACAACCGAAGAATCCGTTATTTTCTGGAGTGGGAGGAAAGGTTGAGCATGGAAGATCCGCGGACCCACCTCACAAGGGAGGAGGAATCGGCTGGTATGGGTGCTGAGCTGCCATCGAACTTAATGGATCCACCACCAGTGGAACAAGAACCCGGATGGAAAAAAGACGGACCCTAACTTCGGTTAATTACGTCTTTGTAGTCCTTATAATACTTACTTGGGAGTAAGTCCCATTGTATATAGGTATGTACTGTATAGGATTGCGCTACTGAGTGAAGTCATACCAATTTTTAAGCGATAGGGTGGGAGAAAGGAATCAGTCTCCTTAAACTAGGAATCTGGTCGAGATTATACCTGTCTTTTCAACCTGTTTAAGTGTCTTGTGATTCACATTTTAAAGCTACCGGTTGTCTCCAAAACACACGCAGCTGATTTCTTCTTTCTCTCTCGTAATATCCTTTCCTCTATGTACTCGGATAAATGGCCACCGAATTCAGTGGAAGTGACTCCCGAGTAAGTGTGCACAGGATTGCAGCCCGATAGTTTCTCCTCCACTCCACTTTGGGTTGTGGGGGGGTTACACATTCATGGTTTTATTAGTGCTTTCAATGGCAATTTGTCGACTTCTGCCGGCCCCAAGTTGAGTGGAAATGGATGGGCAGCTCTCGCCTCAAGAAGGCTGCAACAATCTCCCCTCCATTAACTCTATAAGCCGCTTCTTAAACTCCCATAAAACAGGTCATTGGGAAATCGCGTAATATGCTGCGAAGTGTCTCTGGCTGTCATCTAATGAAATCTGAAATGCTCAGGAATCAGCGAGCGCGCCTTTTCGCCATTTAGCCAATTTCCCTCGGCCTGATCGCCTCGGCGAACTTGGTGGAGATCAAAGCATCCTTCCGGCCGGCGTTTTCTCTTTGCATTAAGGCTTCGGAGTGAAGCCCCGCAACCATCGCCAAAGTTTGACTTGAAAGTCTTCCGTTTTGGCCCAGAAGCATCCAGAGGAGTTTTAAGCCTTTGTGCCTTGAACTAATTGCCAATTTGACAAAATCCACTGCTTGCTTTTAAAAGCAAAGCTCCTGGAACCAACTCTGCGGTTTACTTTGAAGTAAGGCTGAAATCCTAAATGACTGGGGGAATAAGGCGTCCCGCTGAATTCACTGAGGATCCTTAGGCTACAGTCCTAGGCACACCTCCCTGAGAATTACTACCAAAGGTAACTCGCATAGGATCGGGCAGTTAGGATTGCGCTGCAGGAAGCTTCAGTTTCAACAGGACTCTCCTCCAGGCAAGTAGGCTTGGTTTGCAATCATAGGCGCATTTGCCCGGAACTGAATTTCACAGGATCGTGCCGCAAGTCTGCCTCACTCTTCCAACCAAAATCACTTCTGCACACTGTTGACCAAGTTCCACTGAGTTCAATGACACTTGCGCGCTCTGAGTGTGGATTGCATCCTGACTTGGCTCTCGGGTTCCCGGTATCGCTTTACAGAGGATTTAAAGCAAAGCAATGTGGGGGTAGTCTTCAAGGACATGGGAAGTGTCACCAAATGTATAGAATCAGCTCCCCCTCTCCCTTTTTAAAATGCACCTAAAATAGGAAACAGACGTAAGTGGCTGGGGTGTAAGTCGTAAGAAGGGCAGGTGGTGTCTGCAGCAAGAGTTGCGCTCCTTTTTAAAAGAGAGCTCTCTATTGCACTGTAATCTTCCTCCTCCCATTCACGCTACAAACTCGCTTCTCAAACTACTATCAATACATTATACGACCATTCTATGCAAGCTTATTCGGAGTCGTAGGGCTGTTCAGTGAGACTTATTCCGCAGTAAACGTGTTTATGGTTGCAGAGAAGGATATTGCTATACACGTTTACTCGAAAGTAAATCGCACTGAACTTTATGGGACAATGTGTATAGGACTGCAGTCAGAGGTACTCAGGCATAAATAGCACAGATTGGCAGGTGGAGTACTGGCATTTTGGACGACCGGGAAGTAAATTCAATTCATACTTATAGTAGGAGGGAATAAATATACAAACAAGCACACACACACACACACACACACACAGAGCGCAAGTGCGATCGTGACCTCGTTTAAAAATTAGAAAGTTTAAAATACTAAAACCAGCTTCATATTATGCAAGGAAGAGCTGCTGCAAGGCGGCATTATGAAGTTACATAGTTGGGGTTATGGCAGCAAAAAGTTATCGCTACATTTACACAATATTCTGTGTTCAGTGGAAACGCCAGAGCCGCTAACTGAGTAGTCAAACCCGATCCTATGCGGTTTCATAGGGAAGCAAATCCCTCGGAGATCAGACGAGCTTTCTTCCACGTTAAGTATGGATCGTAAGACCCGAGCTTTCTTCGTAAGTATGGATCGTTAAGACACGGTTCTCAAAACTATGAAGCGAAGAACATGAAGCAACAGTTAGAAGGGCCTTCCATTAGGGTCCATGGGAGCCAATGCTCAGAGCAGAGCTGCGCAGGAGCTGGGCTCTATGTTAAAACTCTAAAAAAGGCGAGCTCTTTGCCTCCAGTAGCCCAGCCGGGGCAGAAGCCCAGAGCCCCAGTCAGCAGAAGGAGCAGAACGGGCCCCAAACCAAGCAGGGCTCCTGGCTAACATCTTTTGAACTAATAAAACATAAATCTCAAGGCAGGGTGGTCGTGGTGGTAGGCTGGACCACTAAGCCTAGCGTCTAACATTTCCTAACTGCTCCCCTGGAAAAAGAGACTCTTCTGGAGGAAGAGTCCCGTTGCACCTGACAGTCGCAGCGGCAGGAGCTCTGCTTTGACACCTGCGAGGGCTTACAGAGGCTCAAAGAGAACAAAACGAGAATGGAAGACGAAGGACGAGTGAAAATGGGAACCAAATGGATGTAATGCTGGGTCCTATAAGGGAGATAACGGTTGTTGTGTTGAAGCAAAGTTGGCCCACCAAGACCAGAGGTAATCGGACTTTTTTTTTTTTTAGGGCTGCGAACTGGAAACTTGTAACCTGCGCCCAAGAACTTGCTGTTTTTGCCTGCCGACTGAATCTGGTGATGGAGGACGAAGAAGAAGAATAGCCGGCAGCTCTGGAGTCCCTATGAAATGAACGAAACGCACACGCGCTTCTTGCCAAGCAAGCTCCCCTCCTTTCTCTGCCTCCCCACCCCAGGCGGTGGAGGGGGTGGGAGAGCTTTTCCCCTGAAAGGGCTCCCAAATAGGAAGCCCGAGGAGCCTCAGATGCGCGTCGATTTCCAGGCATCACGTGTTAAATAGTTGCTATAAATCCCCACACCCGCAGTAGAGGGGGCGGGGGAGAAATCCAGGGGAGGTCTAGAGAGAAGGAAAGGGGGGTTGGTTGATGGTGTGTTGTTTTTTTTTAAGACCAGCCCTCTCCAGAGCCCCCCTTTGTTCAGCTCTCAGACTTAAGCACCTTCCGGGCTCGCCCAGGGGCTTTTGCAGAGGCGACTCGGCCCCAGGAGGACCGACTCCGCAGAGCGCACGGAAAGAGCGCACAGAGCCAGAGAGCGCCACCGGGAGTCACTGCCAGCCACCGATCCTCAGCCATGTCTCGCTCGTTCTATGTGGATTCGCTCATCATCAAGGACCCGGCTCGGCCGGCTCCCTCGTTGCCGGATCACCACCACCCGCCCCCCGGGCAGGACTTCCTCATCCCGCTGGGCGTGCCGTCGCCGCTGGTCATGTCGGTGGCGGGCGGGCCGGCGTGCCCGTCGCGCAAGAGCGGCGCTTTCTGCGTGTGCCCGCTGTGTGTCAGCTCGCACCTGCACGCCTCTTCCCGGGCGGGCGCGGCAGGAGGAGCCGGAGGAGGAGGAGGAGCGGGCGCCGCTGCCGCCATCCCGCTCCTCAAGGGCCACTTTCCTCCCGCTGCGGCCGGCGAGGGCCAGTATTGCCCCCGCCTGAGCCATGCCCAGCAGCAGCCAGCCCCGCAGCAGCAGCAGCAGCAGCAAGCCGGCTCGGTGGCCTCCGCGGCGGCGGCGGCAGTGGCGGCAGCGCACGCCCTGGGCCACCCACCTGTCTGCGCAGCGGCCGCCTACAGCATGAGCGACCCCCGGCGATTCCACTGCCTCGGCATGGGTAGGAGCTTCCTCCGCCGCGTCCCGCCTTTGGGGGACTGGGAGGTGGGGTTGGGGATCCAGGGGGCAGCGGGGTGGTTGAAAGGAAAGCTGGGACAGGTCCACTAACAGGTCGGCTCTCCAGGTAAGGCGGGGTCCAAAGGCGGTTCTTCTGCAGCCCTTCCTTTCCGGAGTGGCTCCGGATCGTGTTCGCACCGGTTGGTGCCGAAAGAGTTAAGCGGGGAGAGGAGACCCCTCTGGGGGTTGCACCTGTGTGAGCCCCCAACCCTGCAATCAGTTCAGCCGGTAGAGCATGAGATCTTGGCTCTCAAGGTCGTAGGTTCGAGCCCCGCGTTGGGCAAAAGATTTCTGCATTGCAGGGGGTTCGGCTGGATGACCCTCGGGGTCCCTTCCAACTCTACAATTCTATGATCCTCTGGAGGCTTTCCGTTTGCTCCGACGGGGTTGTGCCATAAACCAGCTCCACCACCGTCCTCAGTCCTGTCACTTGGCTACTCCGACTAGAAACATTTGATTCCGCTCCCCGCCCGTGTTGGCAGCTCACGCGTTTCCAAGAGTGAGCCCCACTGACTTCCCAAAGCATCCTCAAATCCTTCCAAGGCAACCCTCCGACTCCCAAGGAGAGCAAGGACCTCCTAAAACGCCCCTCTGACTTCGTGGGGATCAGCCCATCATCAAGAGCGCTAGGCTCTTAAACTCACTCAACCTCTTCCCCTCCGGGGGACCTTCAGTGAGGAAATTCAGAAGCTAAGAAGTGCGAGGACTGGCGCGTTAGTTTAGCGGGCTTCTTTTTTCCATCTTCCCTAGACGCGAAGGTGAGAAGTTGTTAAAGTGAGATCTGGATACTGTAGGTAATGTTGTGAGGCTGCGGTGCAGGGAGGGCACTAAAGTATTTCCGCACCCTATAGACTTCAGTCCTCCGTTTCCTCCTGGCCAGATTTGACGTGAGTGGGATTATCTCGCAGAAAGCAATTTGGGGATTGGTATTCCACTTAATTGAGGATAAGTGGTCAGAAAGATGCGAGGATGGAGCTGCATGGCTCCCAGAGAACAGGTGCAGAGGCCGGGCTGGCTCCGACTCAGAGCGACCCGAAGAGAGCCAGATGCGTGTCTTTGATTCTGAATGGAGCAGAGCGCGTGTATGTCACAGGCTGAAGCAGAATCAAGCTACGGGGTGCGTCTCTTCTTCTGAGAATAGCGGCAAACCCCAAGCCATTCTCTCGCGAGTAGTCCCATTGGCTTGAGGATCCCAGTCTGAGCCTACACCTTCAGACCGGATCAACGATAAGTTCTGTGAAATGTGCTTTTTTCGGAGCAATAGGCTTGACGGATACGAGTTGCACATTCAGTCTTAGAATGGACAGTTTTCTCAGAGACACGGATGTGAAGGATGGATCTGACCCACGTTGCGATCCTTAGCAACCTCAACCAATCAAGGCTTGCAGCCAGTCAATGAAAAGAGGCAATAGCTCGAGGAAGATCCTATTCTGATCTTAGCTGAGCACCAGAGTCTGACAAGACTGCTCTGAGAATCTCAGTCTACACTTGCAATCCAGGATCAGGACACAGGGTTACTTTGAGTAGATTTTAGGTGCATGCAGCTCATTGGGACTGGCTTCTGCAATCCGCATAGATGATCCGGATCAATGCAGGCATAAACTGGAACCTCTGAACGGTTCCTTCTAACTGGAGTTAATAATACCGAAGTTAGAATAAAGAGTTTGAAAGGTATCCTTCTGCGCACGCCTTTCCTTCGAGCAGACACTTTGACTTTGCTTCTCGTGTGCTTGTCAAAGGTGTAAAAAAAATATACTGTAAAGGTCTGCTGCCAAGAAGGGCATAAAAGAGTTCTTCCCTCTCGGATAAAACGAAGCAAGGATTGACGAGGTGTAGAACTGTAACCTCTCATTTCCAACTAGCGAGACTTGAAAAGAAGTAGGCTGTTCTCTCTGAAAGGCTAGAGCCAGAGGAAGTCTAACAGTTGAAAGCAGCACTCAGCTATGGGCAATGCAGCAATTTGATTTTCATTTAAGGACAGTTGGAGCAGATAGTTACTATTTACCACTGAGTAACTACTACTTTCAGAAGAAGAAATTAGGATAGGAGGACTTCCAGTCCAGAGGCGTGGCTTGCAGGCAGCCTTAACCCCTGACACTTCCTTTGAGTAAAATAATAACGTGATATCAGTCAACCGCGGAGTGTGCAAGCTTCTGGAGTTTCCGTTTCACCTGGCAAAGGTGAAGAGGAAAGGCTACATTGGCTTCCACCTGGTTTAGCTGCTTGGGCAGAAATAAATTGCCACACACACACATAGTGCTAGAACTCTGAGCCTTCCAGCAGAGTGGATGGACTGTCGTTCCATCACAGGGTCATTCTGCACAGGTGCCTGATATATTTGTGGAATTTGCTGCCACGTGGTGATGACCTTTGGTTAAGATGGCTTGAAAAGGGGGATGAGACTGAGTCATGGAAGACAGCTCTGTCGGTGGCTACTGGTCATCATCGCTGCCTATGCCACTTCAAGGATCAGAGGCTGCATGTCTATGAACACCAGCCTTTGTGGAACAAAAAAGGGGATGGGGGTATTTTCCTCATGCACTGCCGCAGTTTGCAGGCTTCCCATAGTCAACTGCGGAAAATCGGGTGCTGGTCTTGATGGTCTTTTGGTATGACCCAAAACTTACAGTATTATGTTCTGATGTTTCCTGTTTTTAGGGATCAAACTAGTCACTGTTCGGTGGCCCAGCACTTCTAGTTAAAGACCTCGTGTTTCATTTTCCTAAAACGAGTGACTCCAAATTCTCAGCGGATTGCTGGGGGAGCCACCCTACTTGTGGCTATTCAAGGCCAAGCGAAAGGCTCCCTCTGTGTTACCACTTGGTTCTTTATTCCAGGACTCAGCCTGGGTTTTGGAAACATATTCCAGGGCTCAGGCCCAGCATTTTAGCATTTCCTTTCTGTCGGTTGCTAACTGGGTCTTTTTTGTGTGTGTGTTCTCCACCTCTCCCCCCCCCCCCCCAGGAGGCTCGGATGCCAGCCAGTTGCAAAACGGCAAGCGGATGCGCACGGCCTTCACCAGCACGCAGCTGTTGGAGCTGGAGAGGGAGTTCTCGTCCAATATGTACCTGTCCCGGCTGCGTAGGATCGAGATCGCCACGTACCTCAACCTGTCCGAGAAGCAGGTGAAGATCTGGTTCCAGAACCGGAGGGTGAAGCACAAGAAGGAAGGCAAAGGGACCCAAAGGAATCCGCACGGCGGCTGCAGCTGCACCGGCAACCCGGGACGTTACTCCAGGTCCGAGGACGAAGAGTCGCTCTCGCCGGCCTCGGCTAACGAAGACAAGGTCTCCCCTTTATGAAAAGGCTCCCCTTGGACTTCTTGACGGGCGATCGCAGGCAGAGGCAGCCAAGTTGAGCCCGCGGGGCCTTCTGCAAAGAAGAACAGACTTCTAAGGGCTCTGTCCACGGGCCTAGTGCTAGATTTTGTTGAATGTAAATGAACGTTCAGTTGAAACGGTATTTATAATGTAACACAAACAGCTGCAAGGCTGTTCCCCGCTCTCCACTCCCAGTTAACACACAGTTATGCCTTCCCCTCTTAAGGAGGTGGGAGAGGAGAATCTCCTTTTTCTTCCTCCCCCAAAATATCAGTTCCTTCTTCCTTCCAGGGTTTGTGGGGAAAAGTTTAGAAACTGGAATTGGGGGAAAAATACTGTCTGAGACTCTTTCTTTTTTTGGTACAGATCTTTATATGAAATGGAAAATAATAATAATCCGAATTAGAGTTGTTCGGTGCTCTCCTTTGTATGTGAATAGTTTTATATTAAATTTATATTTATATTTATTTAAATAAAGGAGTTCAGACAAGAAGTGTGGTGGCTTTCACTTTTTAAAGGATTTATTCCCCTCCCCACCCTCTCTCTTGCCAGCATTGAACCTGAAGCTCTTTGTTTCTATAGAAAGGTAAAGGGACCCCTGACTGTTAGGTCCAGTCACAGACGACTCTGGGGTTGCAGCGCTCATCTCGCTCTACAGGCCGAGGGGGAATTGTTTCTGGAGAGTGAGAAAGGGACCATTCAAGCCACCTTAGTCTGTCGCAGCAAAAGCAAGGAAGAGTCTTGTGCCACCTTAAAGAGTATCCATTGCATAATGGCATAAGCTCCTGTGGGTTACTTCATCAGATGCGCAAAGCTTTGGCCCAAGCGAGGAAACTACATGCAAAATGTTGTGTATGTTTGTGAGGGTTGTGAACAGTGTCAGAGGGAGATGCAAAATGCCAGGAAAATGCCATACAGTATTTCTAAACTCATGGTACATGCCTTTCTAATCAGAGTCCCTATCCAGGATTGGGGGTGGACAGTGTATGTGTTTGTGAAGAGGAAAATGTATCCTTTTCACTTTCCTCTCACTCAATTCCTTTCTGTATAATGTGGGAAGGATTTTTTTATTAAAAATAAATAAATCAAAAAAGTGCAATTTTACTCCTCTAGTTCTGAGATGATTACTACATTCTCACACACTTGATTTTATGTGCTGTGTGGAAGCTTGGAATACACAGATCTGTGGGGGGGTTGGGGCACCAATTACCACTGCAGGGTTGTGTTGTTGCTTTAAAGAACTGCTGTTTCCCTTTGCTCTTGATGGAGAATGAAGCAAGCAGCCTCACCAAAGTTTTTCTTCAGTTTGCATGAAGCAGCTTGAGGAATGACAGCCAACCAAACAAGCTGTCTCTTCTTGCCTGTCTCCCTGTGTCCATTAAGGTGAGCAGTCAGAGCCATATGGGAGCTGCTTTTCTATAGCCTGATCACACATGGCTAAGGGATGCATCGGAAAGAGACAACCTACATAAGAATTTCCCTATTTATCTGTACTTGAAGTCTATAGTTGTGCAGCAGACACAGGCAGTACCATCTAGGGAAACTATTATTGCCCCCATTATACATTTTGCAGTATTCTACTTAGAATTCAAGCTTTCTACTCATCCTAGTTATCTTGGTATTTGAAGAGAGTTGAACTTCATCCCTTTTCTACTTCCCCCACCTTCACCCCTACTTCTAGGCTACTTCCAGGATAAGCAGGTCAATTCCCTCTCCTGAACTCTGTTTCCCTTTTCTTATCATTGCATTGCTCACTTGCTCTTCCCCATTTTGAAGGTCCTGGAAGCTCACAGTTCCTGGCTAGAACATTGTGTACGTGTGTTTCAATTTCCTTTCCTTTTCGAATTACAAACTACTGGGTGGTATTCAACCAAGTGTTACTCAGAGTAGACTCATTGAAATTAACAACTGTACATTAGTCATCTGGGTTTACTCCGAGTAGGGACTAGCACTGAATACTATCTAACATCTTCTGGCCACTTACAGAATCCACCAGCTATAGAGAAAACCATGGCTTTATTTAGGGTTTTGCTCCCAGATTGATAGGGATGGAACCACTCAGGTTTGGTATTGGGGCGGGGACCTGCAACAATACATTGCAGCAGATCCCCTGTCCTTAACAATAATGTTCCTGTTCAGGACTCCAACCAGCCTGGAACATAAGCTTTGAAGCCAATGGTGTTTGGAACTCATGGAGAAGAAGGAAAGCCTCATAAGTGAGGGAGAGAAGAAAGGTCATTCCTTTCCTTTCCACCACCCTTGTGAGACTTTGTCATATAGCAATACAGGTTGCATTCCCTGCCCCAACCCTAATCTCCACCTTCATTCTAGGCTGTTGGGAGCTTAAGCAGACCAATTCTGCCTCACCCCACCACCTTTCCAGCTGACTCTCTAAGCATTGTGTAGAATTATAAGCATTTTCAAATGCACTGTAAATGAGAGGTGTCATGGTAACTCTGCAGTGCCCAGTGTGTATATTGCGTATTGTGGCCTAAGGCTGGTTTGGGTTTCCATCCGGAAATCACCTGTGCAAAGGTGCTCCTGGGGTTTCCACAAAAATCAAGTTGCTTAAATTCCTCGTCAGGATGACAACCCAACCCCCAACCCCCAATCAAAATCAATTGCTTGGTTCCAGTAGAACATACCTTGTGAACAGCATGAGGTCATGTTGCATTATTAAAGCTATACAATCTATCTAATTTCCTTTTTCTTTTGTACTCTTTTACAAATTCTGACCAAATTGAATGGGTTGAGGAGGAGGAGAACTAAAGTGCTTCATACACAATGACGCTACAGGGTTTCATCAATGCCCATGGGTTTGGGTTGAAAACTGTTTCTGCCCGAAACTGTACTGGCTCGCACTGCTGAGACATTAGGTTCCTTGCTTTTAGCCTTTATATTGCATGTGATTGCCATACATTTGCTTCCAACCAGGCTCACAGCTGGCCCAAGTCAAGGAAATAGGCCTCACCTTCTCCCAACATCTCATTCCCTACATTATATCTATCACCAGGGACACTAATTGAGAAGACTTCACTGTCTCACCAGACCTGCTTCTGCAGCTTTAGTCAAAGATTGGGATAGGATACTAGCCAACTAGTTTTTGTAAATTGCCAGTTTGAGTAGCACAGACATCACTCTTCTCCCCGCTCTGCCTATATTTTGCCTTTGGGCTGCCAATCCAAAAGCCACTTGGAATTCCACAGAAAGCCAGGCTTTTGTTAGGGGGTCAGAACCTCAGATTTGTATTGATTTTTATTCATTTTTACTTATGGGGGGAGCTGTCCCCCTGCCCCCCAGCTACATCCATGGTGGGGCCACAGGAAGGGAACAAGGTTGAAAGAGGGCTATGGTCAGAAAAAGGTGTGGGAATGTTCAGGGAGACAGGAGATGGTATATTGTTTAATTATATCCTTCCTAACTTGTGTTAACAAGTTCTACAATTTAGCAGAGTAACATTCCCCTTTTTAAAACTTTCACAGCGGATAACGTCTTTGCCAGGCTTTCATAAGCCTCTAAAATAAGTTTCCTGGTAAATCTCCTTTATTCCCTCTTAAAAAGAATAGACACAACACAGTCTTATATAAAAGTATAAAATGGTTTACTCACACACATTCTGTTCACAGATGGATCCCAGAAGGCAGACTTAAACTACAAAATATATACACTTGGAATCTATCCCATAAGGAGATAGTTCCTTAGTCCTCTCTTGGAAGCCAAGAGAGCATCTCAGGCTAAGGAGATGTTGCTTCTTCGAGGAATGGAGTCAGACAGAGATATGGCAGCCTCCCCTGTGCTGTTTTGTTACCTGCGCAGGTGAGGGCACACTCACCTCTGGTCCCATGTAGAGGAAGTTTGTCCCAGCCCAGGAGGAAACAGGAAGTTCCGACTGGCTGGTCCAGACATCCCCTTTAAATGTCCACTCTAGGAATGTTGTATTTGATTGCTCTGTGTTTTACACCCCACAAAAGGTTGGAAAACACTGATTTAACTTTGTGACCTTCCCTCAAGTGTTAGACTGATGCTCTTTGAGTTGTTCCTTCTTCTTCCATCTGTACCATGGGAGAAAACACATATTTGTGTGCTTCTCCTGCTGAGAACAAAGAGCAAGCATGGCTCTTTGTATCTCCACCTTAGGTAGATAGGTCTTTCCTAGCAAGTATGCATACCCTTAAATAAACTTAGCTTTCTTATTTTCCATTCTCAGAGTCTTGGTGTGATTATACCCAGAGTAAAGTGTGCTCCTCCAGCAGTATTCAGTTCAACTTGTGTGTGTGTGTTGACACCAAAGACCATCATGTATAAGGACAAACTTTATGAAGTTTCCTCCTGGAAACAAAAATACAACTAAAGAGCTCGTTCTTTGAGGTTAACTTTGATGCAAACACCTCTCTTGTGATTTATTCTGGTACAAAATCTTTGTACCTCACCCCTTCTGCACTTGAATACCCTCAAGTTTAAAGACAATGGAATTTGCTTGGAAGTAAATGAGATTAAGGGATGCGGGTGGCGCTGTGGTCTAAACCACAGAGCTTAGGGCTTGCAGATCGGAAGATCAGCAGTTTGAATCCCCGCGACGGGGTGAGCTTCCATTGCTTGGTCCCTGCTCCTGCCAACCTAGCAGTTCGAAAGCACGTCAAATTACAAGTAGATAAATAGGTACCGTTCCGGCGGGAAGGTAAATGGTGTTTCCGTGCTCTGCTGTGGTTTGTCAGAAGCGGCTTAGTCATGCTGGCCACATGACCAGGAAGCTGTACGCTGGCTCCCTCAGCCAGTAAAGCGAGATGAGCGCCGCAACCTCAGAGTCGTCCGCGACTGGACTTAATGGTCAGGGGTCCCTTTACCTTTTTAAATGTAAACACAACCAAACACTTTTCTGCCCCCACATTGTTTTAATGGAAGCCATTTAAGAACTTAATTAACTCCCACTTTGGCATCAGTAGGACTTGGAAGTATCCCTTTGGCTTGTTCATGAGCATCTT